TGAACGGCCGCTGGCCGGCTCAGTCTTTGTTGGGTTCCCTGGAGCTCCGGTCAGCCGACTTCTACTGCGCGTGGGGGGGGGGGGGGGCGTGCCGGCGCACGTTGCGTCTCGCGTTCAGTCGTCGGGCCCTCGCCGTTGGACGCCGCTCGCCGACACAACAAAAAAACATTCCCCCCTCCTCCCCCGCCGACGCTAATTTGCATTTTTTCATCATCATCATCATCATCATCATCATCATCATCAGCCTGACTACGTCCACTGCAGGACAAAGGCCTCTCCCATGTTCCGCCAGTTAACCCGGTCCTGTGCTTGCTGCTGCCAATTTTTACCCGCAAACTTCTTAATCTCATCTGCCCACCTAACCTTCTGTCTCCCCCTAACCCGCTTTCCTTCTCTGGGAATCCAGTCAGTTACCCTTAATGACCAGCGGTTATCCTGTTTACGCGCTACATGCCCTGCCCATGTCCATTTCTTCTTCTTGATTTCAGCTATGATATCCTTAACCCCCGTTTGTTCCCTAATCCACTCTGCTCTCTTCTTGTCTCTTAAGGTTACACCTACCATTTTTCTTTCCATTTCTCGCTGCGTCGTCCTCAATTTAAGCTGAACCCTCTTTGTAAGTCTCCAGGTTTTTGCTCCGTAGCTAAGTACCGGCAAGATACAGCTGTTATATACCTTCCTCTTAAGGGATAGTGGAAATCTACCTGTCGTGATTTGAGAGTGCTTGCCAAATGTGCTCCACCCCATTCTTATTCTTCTAGTTACTTCAATCTCGTGGTTCGGCTCTGCGGTTATTACCTGCCCTAAGTAGACATAGTCTTTTACAACTTCAAGTGCACTATTACCTATCTCGAAGCGCTGCTCCTTGCCGAGGTTGTTGTACATTACTTTTGTTTTCTGCAGATTAATTTTAAGACCCACCTTTCTGCTCTCCTTGTCTAATTCCGTAATCATGAGTTGCGATTCGTCTCCCGAGTTACTGAGCAATGCAATGTCATCGGCCGAAGCGCTGGTTACTAAGGTATTCTCCAATTACTCTTATCCCTAACTGTTCCCATTCTAGGCTTCTGAAAACCTCCTGTAAGCACGCGGTAAATAGCATTGGGGAAATTGTGTCCCCCGGCCTTACACCCTTCTTGATTGGTATTCTGTTGCTTTCTTTATGAAGCACTATGGTAGCAGTTGATCCCCTGTATATTTCTTCCAGAATGTTTATATATACATCATCTACGCCCTGATTCCGCAGTGTTTGCATGACGGCTGATATTTCTACTGAATCAAACGCCTTCTCGTAATCTATGAAGGCTATGTATAGGGGTTGGTTATACTCTGAGCATTTCTCTATTACCTGATTGATAGTATGAATGTGGTCAATTGTTGAGTAGCCTGTTCGAAATCCTGCTTGTTCCTTTGGTTGATTGAATTCTAATGTTTTCTTTACTCTGTTAGCAATTACCTTTGTAAATAGCTTGTATACTACAAAGAGCAAGCTGATCGGCCTGTAATTCTTCAAGTCCTTGTCATTTCTTTTCCTATGTATTAAGATGATGTTAGCGTTCTTCCAAGACTCTGGTACTCTTCCCGTCAGGAGACATCTCGTAAACAGGGTGGCTAGTTTTTCTAACACAATCTGTCCTCCATCTTTCAGCAGATCTGATGTTACCTGATCCTCACCAGCAGCTTTGCCCCTTTGCATGCTCTCCAAAGCTTTTCTGACTTCTTCTATCATTACTGGTGGGGTGTAATCTGGGTTACTGATAGTTCTTATAGTATTAAGGTCGTGGTTGTCTTGGCTACTGTACAGATCTCTGTAAAACTCCTCCGCTATTTTAACTATCCTATTCATATTGGTAGTTATTTTGCCTTCTTTGTCCCTTAGTGCATACATCCGACTTTTGCCTATCCCAAGTTTCCTCTTCAATGCTTTGACACTTCCTCCGTTTTTCAGAGCGTGTTCAATTCTCTCCATGTTATACCTTCTTACATCGCATACCTTACGTCTATTAATCAACTTCGAAAGCTCTGTCAGTTCTATTTTGTCTGTTGTACTTGACACTTTCATGATTTGACGCTTCTTAATTAGGTTCTTCGTTTCCTGGGAAAGCTTGCCAGTGTCCTTTCTAACTACCCTGCCTCCAACTTCCACTGCACACTCCGTAATAATACTCGTCAGATTATCATTCATTGTATCTACGCTAAGGTTGGTTTCCTCACTAAGAGCCGAGTACCTGTTCTGCAGCGACACTCTGAATTCCTGTACTTTCCATCTCAGTGCTAGCATTTTTTTCAGTGGTTCATTATTTCAAATAGCATGACATTCCGAAAAGTGGGCCAAATGTGACGTATCACCCTAATTTGTTATGCAGCACAGCAGCTGACTCTTCCGTCACTCAGTATCAGCGCAGATGATTTTATCTCGTGAAACACTCCCGCTGTAGATCTGGCACAGCAGAAGAGCGACACTTGATCCTAAAACCAGCAACGTGTTTAAATTACACACCAAATAAATGTACATCATGATTACACTTATCGCAACAAGATGAATACGCAACACGTAGGGCGGAAGTACGGTAAACAATGAAAGTCTTATTTTCATTGTCAAGATCTGTATTAGCCTTTACAATAATCTCATCAGCCTGCTGTACAAACCGAGCAACTTGCGCAGCGAGAACGTTTTCGAATTGTGATACATTAACACAGAGCGGTATTACCACCACTGCCACGAAACTTATGGTGCAAAAGCGCGTTCACCCAGAGATTAGTTAGAGGTTGACAGCTTACCCGTCTTTGACACGAGGTGCACTATGAACCAGTGAACATCTGTGTTCATCACTGTCGTGACTGAAGAGTAGATCTATCGCGAGGAAGAGTGCTTGCCGCAAATAATCACGTATAGCTCGAACTTCACGCTGGTTCAACCATAGGGTTTCCCACAATACTTTCTAGAGGGAACTCTGGTGCTAGTGTCTATGGGAGTTGCAACACACGGCGCTTCAGCAAACATGGCAATAATGGGTAGTACACACATTTGTCTAATATTCGTATTTCTGGCCTACTTCTGGCTCCATGTGTGTTCGTGTGGCTTGGGGCTATTTTTCACGAAAACATAAATCAGCAAATGTTCACTGTTTGAGCTTCACAACCTTATTTTTTAAAGCTTACTATTTCGAATCAAGCCTCTAAGTTCAAAAGGGTTTGTGATTTTTTTCAAAACAAAACCGTAATCAGTAATAAACAAAGCCGCAAGTACGATTCGCCGCCCGCAAGTACGAAGATTAGGCAAATGTGTGTACTACGTTCCTTCCTCCGTGGTACTACCCATCATTCCCATCGTGGTGATTCCCATGGTCGCTGAATAGATGGATGAATGGATGTATGTGGCTGTACCCTTTAGATCGGGCGGCAGCTAACGCTACCTAGCCGTAATACATAGTGAACTAACCACTAGATTTATCTTCTTTTTTTCCCTTTAAATGGTAAAGTTGGACGGGTACCTTGCAGTGAAGGGTTTAATTTTCACTCGTGCCTTGACTTTAGCCACGAATCAGATAACCTCCTTTTAGTTAAGTCTACCCGCTTAAAGTCTATTTTGCCTACCCTGTCCCTAAACACCAGTGCTTTGAAAAACTCTGTGCCATCATCCTGAACTATAGGTTGAAGCTCTTTACAGAACAATATCAAGTGTTCGGCAGTTTCTTCTTCCTCTCCACACGCACTGCATACTGTGTGTACCCCTTCGTATTTGTCCTGATATGTCTTGGTTCGCAATACTCCCGTCCTGGCCTCAAGCAGTGGAGAACTACCCGGAGTATTATCATAGATCTTTTCTTTGGCAATTTACTGCTTAATAGTTCGATAGATCTCTAGTGCGGACTTCTTAATCATGCCGATTCTCCACATGTCAGTTTCCGTTTCCTTCACTTTCTTCTTAACCTGGCCTCAAGCAGTGGAGAACTGCCCCGAGTATTATCATACATCCTTTCTTTGGCGATTTCCTGCTTAAAAGTTCGATAGATCTCTAGTGCGGACTCCTTAATCATGCCGATTCTCCACATGTCAGTTTCCGTTTTCTTCACTTTCTTCTTAACCGATAGTACTTTTTGGTTTGGCCACTGCTGTTCTCAAAGTATTTACCAGTCAATTTCCTGGTTCGCTTCCTCCATTTTCTATCGACATTTTTCATGTACAAGTAGCTGAACACCTTCTTAGCCCAACGCTCCTCCCCCATTTCTCTCAATCGCTTCTCAAATTTTATCTTGCTGCTAGCTTCCCTGCCCTCAAATGATGTCCATCCCATATCACCTTGTACTCCCTGATTTGGTGTATTCTCGTTAGCTAGAGCTAGCCTAACTATTCCACGTTGCTTAATTTCTAATCTTGATTGAACTTCTGATCTCATGCACAAGACCGCATTGCCGAACGTCAGCCCAGGAGCCATGACCCCTTTCCATATTCCTCTCACAACATCATACCTATTGTAATTCCACAGTGCCCTATTTTTCATGACAGCTGCATTCCTGTTACCTTCAGTCGTCACGTATATTTCTTGTTCCCTTAGATACTCGGTCCCATTGCTTATCCATACGACCAGATATTTGTATTTATCTGTTATCTCTAGCGTGACTTCCTGTATTCTAAGCTCACTACCTTCGTTATCATTACAAATCATGACTGCTGATTTTTTCTTACTGAATCGAAAATCTAACCCATCTCCCTCATTACCGCAGATGTCTATCAATCTCTGCAAATCTTCCTTGTTGTCGGTCATTAGCACTATATCATCTGCGTAAATTAATGCTGGTAGTGCCTGATCAATGTGATGTATCCGTGACGTCACGCCAGCCGAAGCCGCCGTTATCACCACTGCTTCTTCTCCTTCCCTTCCCCTTAACCCTTCTCGCACAACGCTACATTAACCCGCGCTATCGCAATAAAGCTTTTGTCTTGGCCCAGCCACGGCCCTGGCGTGTTCGTTTTAGTGGCGACGAAGATGGGATAAAAGCGGTGCGGCAACTCCGTCCGTCATGACCGCCGCACCCACGGGAGGATACGCCAGCCCGCCGCAGTTCGACGAGGCGAGCGACAAGTGGCCCGCGTACCAGGTTCGGCTGGAAGCCTTCTTTGAGGGAAATGGCATCACGGAAGACAACAAGAAGCGGGCCCTGCTGGTGACTGCACTGTCCACCCACACCGTCGACGTACTGAGCGGACGTTGTGCTCCGGATAAGGTGAATGAACTTTCGTACCCACAAGTGATAGCCTTGCTTAAGCAGCACTTCTCGCCGCAACCGAACGAGATAGCACAGTCTTATAAGTTCTTCACCCGCAATCAGCTGCCCGGCGAACCGGTCAAGGATTTTGTCGTGGCGATTCGACAGATAGCGGACACCTGCAATTTTGGTGCTTCGTTGGACAGAATGCTACGAGATCGCATCGTGTGTGGTCTGCACAACGTCGGAGTGCGTCGGCAGCTACTCGCGAAACCACAGCTGACGAGGAGCGAAGCGGAAGAAATTGCGATATCTACCGAAATGGCCGAGGCCAACGCGCAAGAGATAGTAAGCCCCACCGCTGAGGCAAGTGTGCATGCGCTGGGAGGCCAGTCCTATCGCCCACGAAGCCGGCCACAGATTGTTGGGTGCTACCGCTGCGGAGCAAAAGGGCACGGACCCGAGGATTGCCGCTTCCGCTCGGCGTCATGCTTCAAGTGTAAACAACGAGGTCATATCGCTCGAGCCTGTTGCCGCCGTGAGAGTGGGTTCGGGGTGGTACCACCAGAACGCCAAGTACACGCCTTGTCGCGGGAGGAAGACACTGGCACGGACGGTATGTTCGCGCTGGAGGCAGCGGACAGTCACATCGGCCACGTCGGCATTACGCAACCCATCGTGCGCACCTTGGATTGTGGTGGGGTTCCAGTGAACATGCAGGTCGACACAGGCTCGCCGGTTTCGGTCATCACGTGGCCCACATATGAGCGGAACAAAACAGTGTGGCCGAAGCTGCGTGGTTCGCCATTGAAACTCACCTGCTTCCTGGGACGGCTTCCAGTGCGGGGACAACTTCAGCTCAAGGTTTCGTGCGGAAACAAGTCGACGGCTGGATCTTTGCAAGTCCTTGGTTGCTCCGGCCCAAACCTCTGCGGACGCGACCTGATTCAAGCGTTCCACATGCTCGAGGCACCGGTAATGAACGTGAACACGTCAGGTGAGCAACTGCCGTTACTCGGTGCTGACGACGTTAACGTGGACCGGTTCGCTAACAGAATTCGCTGATGTGTTCGCGCCAGGTTTAGGGCTCATAAAAGGGCCACCGGTACACTTCGAGACGCGAGAAAACGTGGTGCCGAAGTTTTGGAAAGCACGCGAAGTTCCGTATGCTTTTCGGCCAAAGGTCGACGCGGAACTGGACCGCCTTTCGGGCGCGGGTATTATTGTACCGGTGCCTCATGCGGAGTGGGCGGCGCCAGTGGTACCGGTAGTGAAACGGAATGGCTGCATCCGCCTTTGCGGCGATTTTAAGCTAACGGTCAACAAAGCCTGTCGCACTGAGCAATATCCGTTGCCACGGGTGGAGGATATCCTGGCTACATTAAATGGCGGTGAAGTTTTTACCACGATAGACTTGCGGGAGGCATACAACCAGCTTCCGTTGGATGAGGAAGCCATGCACCTCACGACCATAAACACGCATAAGGGACTGTTCAGCTTTACTCGCCTGCCTTTTGGAGTGGCGTCCGCGCCGGCCGTGTTCCAACGGCGTATGGAGACCATTTTGCAGGGACTTCCGGGTGTTCAGGTCTACCTAGACGACGTCATCGTGGCAGAGAAACGCAATGACTGCACCACCCTGCACGATGTATTCAAGCGTTTCCGGGAATACGGCGTGCGCCTGAACGCAGACAAGTGCAAGTTCCGCCAACTAGAGGTGGATTTTTTTGGGGCATCGAATCAGCGCTCGAGGTCTTCAACCAAAGACGGAAAACATAGACGCCATCCTTAAGGTTCAGGCACCACGGAATTCCGCAGAATTAAGGTCCTACCTCGGCATGGTAACGTACTACCACAAGTTTCTTCCCAATGCATCGACCGCCATGGCACCCCTATATCAACTACTCCGGAAGGAAGCTAAGTGGAAGTGGGATACCGCTCAACAGCAGTCATTCAGCAGTGTGAAAGACCTTCTGAAATCCGCAGACTTTCTGGCGCATTTTGACCCACACAAGCCGCTAGTCCTGGAATGCGATGCCTCCCCGGACGGAATAGGCGCAGTGCTTTCACACGATGTCGGGGGCGGAGTACTTCGGCCCATAGGGTTCCGCTCTCGGTTATTGACTGGAGCTGAGAAAAATTACTCGCAGCTGGAGCGTGAAGCCTTGGCACTTGTGTTTGGTGCGTCGAAATTCCGACAATACTTGCTCGGCAATACTTTCACATTGATGACGGACCATAAGCCGCTTGTTGCACTTTTTCACCCAGACAGGCCAGTGCCCGTGATGGCCGCTGCGCGAATCCAGCGGTGGGCCCTGCTGCTGAGCGCCTACGATTACGTCATCAAACACCAGCCCGGGAAAGACAACATTCCAGCCGATGCCCTCAGCCGACTCCCCACGTCAGCAACTTCCCAGCCAGAGACGCAGGAAGAAACTGTGGACGGTGAGTATGTCCTGCTCACGGAGACCCTCAATGATGGTGTCATGTCTGCGAAGCAACTGGGCACTCTCACGGAGCTTGATGACGATTTAGCAAAGGTGCAAAAATGGGTGCAGGAGGGATGGCCAAGAAATTTGGGGCCTAAGGACCAGCACTTGATGCCATACTTCAACCGGAAAGCTGAGATAACGGGGAGTTATGGGCTTCTATACTGGGGCCATCGAGTGATCGTCCCTAAGAGTGCCCGAGCAGTGATGTTACGTCTGCTGCATGATACTCATCAAGGGATTTGCTCAATGAAGCGGCTAGGGCGCTCCTTGATGTGGTACCCCCGGATCGATAATGACATTGAGCACATGGTTAAGTCCTGCACCAGTTGCATCCAAGCTGCCCCTATGCCCCCAAAGAAACCCCCTGTTGCGTGGCCAGAAACGGATGAGCGTTGGTCGAGGCTGCATATCGATTTTGCGGGGCCGATCGATGGTCACATGCTACTGATTGTGGTGGATTCACATAGTAAGTGGATAGAAGCGATACCCATGAAGAGTTCCACCACACACGCCACCATAGAGGCTCTGCGCACCTTGTTCAGTACATTCGGGTTGCCCCGGACGCTGGTATCCGATAATGGCCCACAGTTTACGAGTTGGGAATTTAACACCTTCACGAAGCTGAATAACATAGTACACCTCCGAACAGCACCGTATCACCCCCAGTCCAATGGGCTCGCGGAGCGGGCAGTTCGTACGGTGAAGTATTCATTGAAGAAGAATGTACAAGGGTCACTGAAAACCCGCCTGGCTAGGATTTTGCACAGGTACCGCAGGACGCCGCAGGCCGGGGGCCGGACACCAGCGCAACTCCTAATGGGCTACGATCTTCGCTCCAGGCTGGACAACGCATTGTCCATTCCGCCCTCACCAGTTGACCGTCCCCCCCTCGATGGGTAGCAGCCCGGGGAGCCAGTATGGGTGAGGAACTTCGGGCGAGGCGAGCCGTGGACTCCAGCCAGCATTACATCGACAGACGGAGCCCGCCTGGTGAATGCCGATGGTCCGGAGGGGGAAACCATTAGGCGCCACAGCGACCAGGTGAAGCCACGGGAGTTGGAGCATGACCAGGGAGAAATCGGTGACTCTCGGTGCCTCGAAACTGCCGGCGGGGCCCTAGCAGGAGGAACACCGAGGCGAGCGCCAACAAGGAGCGAGATCGCCGGGAGCCCCTCAACTCCGGTGTTGCGTCGCTCGGGCCGGCAACGCAAACCCCCAGACCGTTACTCACCGTAGGGGGAGCGGAATGATGTATCCGTGACGTCACGCCAGCCGAAGCCGCCGTTATCACCACTGCTTCTTCTCCTTCCCTTCCCCTTAACCCCTCTCGCACAACGCTACATTAACCCGCGCTATCGCAATAAAGCTTTTGTCTTGGCCCAGCCACGGCCCTGGCGTGTTCGTTTTACAATGAGTTTTCCTTGTTTGACAAAAGAGAGGTTGAAACCAAGTCCACTTTCCTCTAATTTGGCCTCTAATCCTTGTAGGTACATCATGAATTAGAAAGGTGACAGTGGACACCCCTGCCTAAGTCCCCGTTTCACCTCTGTGAGCTTGGATACCTGTTTTTCCCACTTTATAACTACCTTATTACTTTTATAGATTTTCTTTGAAAGATTAGTGACTCCATCTTTCACACCCAGTGTGTGTAGTATTCTCCACAAGTCCTCTTGAACCACGCTATCGTACGCTCCCTTGATATCCAAAAATGCTAGCCACAGGGGCCAGAGTTTTTTTCTGCTATTTTGATGCACTGCGTCAGATTGATTGTCTTCCAACCTCCTGTGTTTCCGAAACCCATTCTGCAGGTCCCCCAGCACCCCCTCATCCTCTATTCATGCGTGCAGTCTTTCCTTTATAATCTGCATCGCGAGCCTGTAGACCACTGATGTCACTGTTATGGGACGGTAGTTGTTAATGTCATTTTTGTCCCCCTTCATTTATAAATCATGCTCATCCTGATAAGTTTCCACCATCAGGGACTTCACCATTGATTATAGTTCTGCTCACTGTCTCTCTCAAAGTCTGTTTAGACTTCGGACCCAATGTCTTTATCAGCGTAATTGAAATGCCATCAGGGCCTGTTGATGTACTACTTGGAACACTCTTCTCAGCCCTTTCCCACTCTCGTTGTGAAGATGGAGCCATTGTGCCACTTGATCCATCCCTGTCTATTGTGGTGCATGAGGCACTTCTTTGTTGAAATTTTTCTTTCACCCTTGCTCTTATATATTCAATAGCTTCGTCCCCTTCTAGCATAGCACCTTGAGCTGTAGTTTTAAACCAATGCTCTAGATTTGTTTCATTTCTTAGGGAGTTTAGATGGTTCCAAAATTTTGCAGGTGCCTTTCTGTCCTTTTTATGTACTTTTGCCAGCCACTGAGCACCCTTTCTTCTAATTTTTTCTATAATCAGGAGGGATGCTTCCCTTCTAGAGCTTAGAAAGATTTCCCATTTTCTTTCAACATTATCTGTCGGTTTACCCCGTTGCTTAGCATGTCTGTGTTCCCTAGAGGCTTCCTCACGTTTTGCTATGGCTCTCTTAACTTTCTCATCCCACCAACTCTTGGACTTGTGTCTTCTTTTCCGGGGTAACTAGTCACGTGCATTAGCAAGCTCTAGTCCAAACAGTCTAATTAGATTTGTGTATGTCCACACAGTTTTATTATCCTCAGTGATTACTTTCTCGATTTGTTTAGTCGCAATTTCTATTTGCCTTTCTGAATGAAAATTTTCCTGTAGTTGCTCATCTTGTCTCCTTCCCACTTTCACTGCTCTTGTGATCGCTACCAAGACTTCTGGAGCCACCTTCGTCTATGTGGATTCCCCTGAGCTTATCATACATTCTATGAGGCATCAGTGCGTAATCTATCGTCGACTGCAGCCTTCCTATCTCCCATGTTATGTGCCCTTAACACTTCTCGGTACTGTTGCAAATGATCAAATCATGCCTTTCACACATATCCATGATCATTTTGCCTGTTGAGTCAGTATACCCATCTATATTTCCTATGCGTGCATTCATATCTCCTAGTATAATTATCTTGCACTCTCCTCCTAATTCCTGAATGTCATTTGATATACTCTCTGCCATTGCCTGGTTTTCCTCTCTGGCCTTTGCTCTAGTCCACAAGTACACGAAACCAAGGAGTGTCATTTGCCCTGGCACTTTCCCTTTTAGCCATAAATGTTCCTTGCATCCCTTCTTGACTCTTTGCACCGTCATCCATTGATGACGATGCCACCGCCGCTGCTCGTGCAACCAGAGAACCACAAACGTGTGACATTTCTGGAGCCACCCCTCTGCATACCCTCCGCCGGAGAGTGAGCCCACTGCCCCCTTCTAGTACACTGTAGTTCAACGACGAAATCGGAAGCCGCCATGACACTTTTCCTCACAGGAAACAGACGCAGTGCCAACGAGCCAATGTAAGCCTAAATTGTTGCAAGCAAAATACAACGCAGCTACCACCTCAGACACAGCAGCGATGACCGCCGATTTGTGCTTAATACGTTTTCGTTTGTAATCTGTCATCTTAAATGTTTGACGAAAACAACCTCTTCACATGCCTAAATACCATAGTCATATAATCAGTAAGCCAACGAAAATTGATTCCGGAACTTCAAGGCACCCAGAAATGCCATTTTTATTATTATTATAATATTGTTATTATTATACCTTGCAGAGAAATTGCAAGGCTCCTCTGAAAATGGAGCAGAGCCACAGTCACACGCATTCCCAGCACTGCCCTAGAACACTCGTATGCGAGGCCTTAGAACAAGAAAAGAGTCATGACGTAGAGAAAATGAACGAAGCCACCGCTGCAATGATTCCTATAACGAAACTTCAGTTAGGTTAAAGCACTAGGACAAGAAACAAGCAAACTCTCACAAATCACAATCTACAAAGGCTACCCACTCAAGATCTAAAGTTGAATTAACTCAGCTAAAAGGGCTGATTAACAAAAAGAAAATTGCCGACATGGGGATTTATAGCACCAAAGAATTAGATGAAGAATTTAAAGAAAGGACAGAGCATGATAATAGGAACCTAATAAAGAATGCGCATTCTAACAGATTGAGTATCATAATCAGTAGTCTCAACATCTATAGTAAGGTGGCAGAAGACATTTACTACAGCTCACGAATAAGCCGCCTAACAGAGAAAGTAACCAAAGTTCAACAGAACTCTTAAACTTCATGAGTAAATATAAACAAAGTTAGAAAGAAACATAACATCAAAAGCCTAACCAGGAACGAATCTGCTTGGATACCCTACCATGAGAGAATAGAATAGAGGCCTACAAAACATGACCAACGAAAAATCATGCAGTGAAATTGTTGACCCAATCAAAGATGGAGATCTCGTGTTTAAAAGCTCGTGACACTTTCTGCACAATGCCTCACGTACTGGCGAATTCATTGTACATCCTAACTGTAAAAATGCCAATACCAAACAAGCACAGAAAAAAAGAGATGAAAGATTTGAAGAATTATTCACAGATCAACAGATGTCCCACTGTGGATCATAGTCATGCGCTGTCAAACTGAAAAATCTGCAAAACGGAATACATTCATTTACTTAACTTGCAGAGACTAATAAAAGGCATTCGACTCAGAGATACCAGCAGTCTTAGAGTGGTTAGTGCATAATGCAAGTATAAATACCCTAGCCAACATCTACAGAGAGTCCACAGCAGACAGACAGACAATGAACTTTTAATAAGGTCTTGAAGGGCGACTAGAAAAGACCCTTTATGGGGAAGAGCTGTCGCAGAGCAGAAAAAGTTTATTCGTGAAGTGGACCTGGCAAGGAGACGAAATCTGAACAATATTTACAGCATGCTTAGCAGAACTATTTGAGCCACCGTGTTGATAAGAAACACGAATAAACATATACAAAGAATATCTCGGTATCTATGCTTTGCAAATTACATCTTGCTTTTCAGCAGTGGTGCCGTTTAACTACAATGAACTGAGGGTCTAAACCGAGAAAGTGTTCAAGTAGGGCTGCAGATAAATAAGTAAAAGACAAGGATCTAATGTTATGAGGCCAAACAAGAGAACGAGAGTTCGCAACGGCACACTAGAAAACTTACAATATATATGTATTTAAGTAAGATATTCACAGGACACACTACTCATCAAAAGAAAATTCACCAAACAACATGGATGAGCGAAAGCTTTAATGGCCGACATTCCCAAATCATAAAAGACAATTCACAACTGTACTTAAAGCAGAAAGTGGTCAACTATTGTATGCTGCAAGTACTAACACATGGTGCAGAAACTTGAATGATAGTAAAAAAAGGAGAAAAAGTTCAGAACAAACCAAGAACTATGCGAAACAGAAAATGTTTAGCATAGCATAGATATATTAAAAAAGCAATGCTCGATAGAGAACAAACAGGGCTAGATGATATTCTAGCTGACATTTAGGGAAAAGAAACGTGGGCCTGGGCAGGTCAAGCAATGTGAGTGAGAGACAAGTGACCAGTTAGAGAGATTGTGTGGCTGCGAAAAGACGGGAAAAATAACTGAGAAAGGCATAAGGCTAGATGGGATTTGCACGCATAAGATCGATTAAGCTTGCACAGGGTTGGGAAAATTATAGGTAACTGCGACAAGCCTTTGTATAGCATTGGACATAAAAAAAGGCTGATATACAAAGAGAGCATGTGTTGCCGAGCTGTTGCACATCACAGGTTGGTTTGAATACCAACAGATTATTCAACTCACATCGCAGTGCTACTGCTTACTTGTAGTTGTCCTACCAACTGCTTTTCGACATGTCTCTAGCAGCGTTGAAACATATCTGGAACATTTATGAGAACCATGTACAGCCATGTTCCTGACTCTGTATAGTGCATCTGCAGCCAGGCTTAATCCGTGGTACCTTG